TTTTTCTGTCATGTTTACATGAAATGAAAAGTACCTGCTACATGAGATTGTTGAAAGCCTTAAACAAATCATGCAGATTAATTGGCACAGGGCCTGGAACAGATCATACACTCATTAAATGTTAGCTCTTATTATTTTCATTGTTGTTGCTGCTATAGTTGTTATTATGTGGGTTGCTAATAATATACAATACCGAAAATACATTTTAATTTTAATGCTCATCAGTAGTGTCCATTTTAAATGGTCTGATAACTGAGTCATTTGAAATTCGAGAGGAATAAGCAGCCTGGGGATGTGTCAACCATTCATCTCCAGAATCTTCAGGCTTCATCCCTGGATCAAGTCAGATCATCAGAATGGTACATACCAGGACTCTATTACTTCAGGCCCCTTCAGAAATGCCTTCACAGAGCCATGATTTGGCACCATGCCCTTGGCTTCTTATCAAAGGTCAGTGCAAGACATGGCCACATAAAGAATGCCTCCACTCTTTTTGTAAAACTGCTATTGACGATAGTGTCCGTTTTAGTGTTTAATGTGCTATAGACAAAGACTCTGGCTATAAATTCTTCTTTTGGCTAAGTTTAATGATTGTAGTGTATCTAGTCTTTGCTTTAAAGTACCTCATCCTCTGGGGAAGCGTAAAGGGCTTTAATAATAAATAGAAGATTTCTTTCAATATATGAAATTCTAGAAAATGTTACCAGCTACAACTGCTCTGTGTTCAGCTTCAGGAAAGAATGAAAAACAATAAACTCATTCTTCCTTTCCTGTTTCAAATTTAAAATGTTGCCCTAGGAGGGAATATTTACATATAAATATTTACCTCCGAGAGAGGGAAAGAAAATGTGTTGCTGACCATAAAATTCTAGGGGCCGGACTCTGCAGGGCAGAAGATTTCATGGTTCCCATCAAGTGACATTGTATAAAACAGAAGTTGCAAAGTGGCAACTCTGACTGTGGCTTGTTCTGCAGTGTTTTAAAAGATTTTGTCAGAGGACATGTATTGCACTTAGCCAAGACAGAAGTGTTCAGACACCTATTTGTCATATTCAAGACTCTTTCCCTGTTAAATTCACTCTCTATAATCAAGTTCATTTTCATAAATGTTGGAATCTGATATTAATATCCCCTACTGCATTATTTTAGGAAGAAGGGACCCATGAAGATCTATATATTGGTTCGGCAACTACGTAAATGCGTATTTTTAAAAGAAAATCAAAGACAATTTTTTCATGGAACTAAATAACTTTATTCTGTAAAGTATTGCCCATTTTGATCAATGACCTTTTGCCATCTTTCAGGCAGCATCATAATCCCACGTTCAAAAAACTTCTGGTTTTTATTAGCAAAAAACTGAATCAGGTACGATTTGACATCATCATCATTATTGAAATTTTTACCATTCAAGGAGTTTTGTAAAGATCGAAACAAAAAGTAATCAGATGGTGCAAGGTCAGGACTATATGGTGGATGTGGCAAAACATCCCAACCAAGCTCCATTAATTTTTGCCGAGTGACCAAAGATGTGTGTGGCCTTGCATTGTCATGATGGAATACAACACCTTTTCGATTTGTCAATTCGGGCCGCTTTTCTTCAACTGCATTGTTTAATTTCGTTAGTTGTTCAATGTAGACATCAGAATTGATCGTTCGGTTGGGTGGTAAGAGTTCAAAGTAGACAATTCCTTTGTAATCCCACCAAACTGATAACAAAACCTTCTTTTGATGAATATCAGCTTTTGATGTTGTTTGAGTTGGTTCACCTGGCCTGCTCCACGATCTTTTCCGCTTGATATTGTTGTAAACAGCCCATTTTTCATCGCCAGTTATCAGTCATTTTAAAAATGGATCATTTTCATTATGTTTCTTTAGCAAATCGCAGCTGCTAATGCGTTGCGTTAACTGTGATTCTTTCAGTTCGTGAGGAACCCATGTATCGAGTTTTTGAACATAGCCAAGTTGTTTTAAGTGATTTTCAATGCATGTATGTGATACATGAAGCTTCCCTGCAATCTCATGTGTTGTACTGTGACAGTCCGAATTGATTATTGCTTTGATTAGGGCGTCATCAACTTCAACTGGACGACCAGAGCGTTTTTTATCTTTGAGTGAAAAATCACCAGAACGAAATTTGGCAAACCAATTTTGACACTGCCGTTCTTTTAAGGCTTCGTCACCATAAACAGCACATAACTTTTTATGAGCTTGCGATGCGTTTTTCCCTTTGCGGAAATAAAAAAGCAAAATATGACGAAAATGTTCCTTTTGATTTTCCATTTTTCAACGAACGCCAAAAGAAAACTACAAAACAGATCAAAAAACTTTTTTTTACTGATTAACAGCTCAATAGCCAACTATCAAATAACAAAATGTGTTTTACATTTGTACTACGTCTGCAAACCTAAAAACTCAACTGAAGCCATATATGTGTGAAACCCGCAATTACGTAGTTGCCGACCCAATAAAAGCTTGCAGAACATGGAGCAAATAACTTCTGGAAAACTATAGAGAGCATTGGAAACAGGTTATGCAACTACACAAAAGTCCTTTCTGACTGCTTTGTGAAACATACTACCTGGTTCATTCCCTTCAGCATCACTGTGGGGACTCACGGTGGCCCTCTCAAAGCATGCAGGGATGTCCAGAAATTCTAATATCGCCATGTCTTTCTCAGAGCCTGTTCTCTCCACCGTGGAAGTGGGGGAGCAGGAGACCTGAGTTTTCTCTGTTAGTTTATAAAACTACATATGCTTTGTGTTGCAGAGTTCGAAATAACATTCTCATAATGAAGAGGCTGTAGAGAGTCTAAGGAAAAAGTGAGAGCTTCTAAATTGTGGCAGAGACCAGTATCATGAGAAAAATGGTTATTCTGTAGGTGGAAAACACACTACCAGGCATCAGCCAGAAGTGTCAGCAAAAAGGAACATCCTAAACAAAATAACTGCCAGTATCAGTTGGACATGCATCTCTGCTCCACTCCCAATTTTCTAACAAATAGGCATGTACATGAAGTACCCAAAGTATCTATTGAAATCATGTTTACCAATATAATTATCTATGATAAATACCATTAATCACAGGACTCTCAGCCATTGGTAAATCTAAAAAAAGTAAAAGTTAGCTAGATCTTAATTAGAAGCCCACTTCTTCGCTTTCAGTCTTTTCAGTTCTAGATCTTCCATTCCTTAAACTGGGTGTATGTGAATACTCTAAATATGACTTATGTTATCATTTAACTTGCTATGAATTACCCACAGTAATGCACTTCTAAAGGTATGATTCTCCATTTGGAATGCTCTTGTCAATTACTAGGTGAGCATTAATAGCAAAAGATAAATAAATATTTTTTCCAAGTTTACTTTGTTAACATCCCAAATTAATAAACTAACAGAAGGCTTGAATGAACATAATTACCAAAAATTAGAAATAAAAACAGCCCTCTGACAGTAACTTCAAACATCAATGAGAAATAAATTAATTTATAGTAACTGCTAGTTCAAAGAGTTAAAATGAATTATAAGGATGCGTACCAACTCTAAAAACCTCAGGACATTATTAATAAATATTGTTTCTATCCTAAGGTTTAAGGAGCTATGAAACTTGTACAAAGTAATATGTATTAAGAATTAATTTAGGTTTCAACCAGGATCCTGCAGAAGGAAGACTTATGAACTTATTCCTACAGTGCATTTTGCCTTACCACATTTAATCCCAGAGGCACATTTTAACTAAATTTGACAGCAGGAAAGAAAGTCCAAAGCTAAATAGCACCACAAAAATTTTTGAAATAGATGACAGCTAATGGCACAGTTTATATTAATAATCAAATGCTGGCTACCCTGTGGATCACTACTGTCTGCTAATGAGGAGAGCCTTGCTTTCTCTCTAGGCAAGCAGCTGTGAAGTGTATAATACTTCTAAAACCAGGTAAACATACAGAGGGAGGATGCAGTCGGACTGCCTGCTGCTAGCAACTGACACTCATGTAACTCACAGGAAATCTGAATACTTGGGCCAAGAGTTGGTCAAGTTGATAAATCTATTTGATAAATAGATAAGGAGTGGCATATCTATTTAATGTAATGTAATTTCCCAATAAAAAATAAAGTAGTGAAAAAAGACTATATTTACTTGTATTCTTCTATAAACCACTTTATCAAGACTTTTTAATGCAAAATTAAAAGTATTTAAGCATTAAAATGATTCTCCCTTTAGCCACACTATTTACATAATTATTACTTTTGCTTTTGTCTTTATTCTCTTCTTAAAAGAGGAAGGTAAACGTTCTCTGTGGATACCAAATATTTAGTGCTTTTGAACAAATATACCTATTTCATGAGAACAAGCATTCATTGCCTGCATTACTGAGTGAAAGAGATGGTACCACCTGTCAAGATATGCAGTCACAGCCACTGACCAGACTGGTGAAATATTATGCAAAGAAGTCTGTAGCTGAATCAAAGTCTGCTTTCATGTCCCCATGGATGAATTCACACGAGAAGCCCTCATGTTCTCTACTCACACACAAAAAGTTACAGTTAATGGTTATTAATTCTTTGTGAAGCACAAAGATAGTTATTACTTTGCTATTGTATTTTTATTAGATTGCTTTCTCTCTTAAGCTAAGTGGTTAAGAATTACAACGCGTATAGGGAAACATTAGCTATAAATTGAATTTAGCTTTATGTATCTCTCCTTCATTCACTTGTTACCTTGCTTTTCATTATTTTCTTCCTCTTTTACTGCCTTGATGTTTAGATAAAACAAAAATAGTACCTGATCATTGCTAGTTGTTCTATAAGTACTTTTTTAAGTTTAAATTCTTTATTGTTAAAAAAAAATTATATTAGTCTCCTGTTTTCCCAATTGACCACTCCCCTGCGCTTCCCACACCCCAGAGCATGCCTTACCCCTCTACTGTATGTGTCCATTGTTTTTTGTTTTTTTTTCCTATGCATGTATACAAGTGCTTGGGTTAATCTCTTATCCCCTAACCTCCTGTCTTTCCTCAGAGGTTGCACAGTCTGTTCTATGCTTCAATGACTCTGGTTCTATTTTTGTTCATCAGTTTATGTTGTTCATTATATTCCACAAATGAGTGATATTATATGATATTTATCTTTTTCTGACTGGCTTATTTTGCTTAGCATAATTGCCTCCCAATCCATCCATGCTGTTGCAAATGTTAAAAATTCCTTCTTTTTACACAATGTAGTATTCCATTGTGCAGATGTACCTGTTTTTTGTTTTGTTTTTATCCACTCATCTATTGATGGTCACTTAGGCTCTTTCCAAATCTTAGCTATGGTAAATTGTGCTGCTACGAATATAGAGGTGCATATATCCTTTCGATTAGTGTTTCTGTTTGTTTGTGTTTTTTTTTTAAATATATTTCTAGAAGTTGTATTACTGGGTGAAATCAAAATTCCAGTTTTTAAGTTTTTGCAGAAACTCCATACTGTTTTCCACAGTGGCTGTGCTAAACTGCATTCCCACTATCACTGTAAGAGGGTTCCTTTTTCTCCACATCCTAGCCAACATTCTGTTAATGATAGCCATTCTGACAAGTGTGAGATGGTACCTCATTGTTGTTTTGATTTGCATCTCTTGGCTGATTGATGACTTTGAGCATGTTTTCATATATCACTTGGCCTTCTGTATGTCCTCTTTCAAAAAGTGTCTATTTAGAACAGAATAGACCAATGGAACAGAACAGAGAACCCAGAAATTGACCCAAGTCAATTTCTATGCTTAATTAACATTTACCAAAGGAGGAAAGAGCATACAATGAAGTGGAGTCTCCTTAATAAATGGTGTTGGGAAAATTGGACAGATGTAAAAAAAAAAAAAAAAAAAATGGAACTAGACCATCAACATATACCATACACAAAAATAAACTCAATATGGACAATGGACTTAAACCTAAGATGGGAAATGATAAAAATCTTAGAATAAGCCATAGGCAGCAAAATGGCAGACATATGTAGTACCAATGCAGCTCCTAGGACAAGGAGAAAATAAAAAAAATGGGACTACATCAAAATAAAAAGCTTCTGTACAGCAAAAGAAACCATCAACAAAACAACAAGAAAGCCCAATACATAGGAGAACACATGTACCAATGTTATATCTGTAAGGATTTAATCTCCAAATTTTATAGGGAACTCATACAACTTAACAAAAAGAAGATAAACAATCCAATAAAAAATGGTCAAATGACCTAAATATGAGTACTTTTAATAGTGCAAGTATATACTTATATTGCTTCATGCAATCACTTTCTTTCAGCAGAGCTATGTTTTCATTTGCTTTTGCTTTTAACAGAGTTGGACAAAATAGTTTGTCATTAAAAAATTTCTAGATATAATATTAACAACAATTTTCTTTCCATTGCAAACTACCATTTATTACATCAACAAATACTTAGTATTCTAATCTATACCACAACTGTGTAGTACCTGGCCCACTTGATATCTATGGTTGATGGAAAGGCCAAAATTGGTGGCATATGTAATTTCCAGATAATGCTTAATTTATTTTTAAATGCAAGATATTTTTATACTTGTTTTAGTAATACCTCTTAATGAGTCAGTTAACTGTATCTTTATTAATTGGTAAACTTTTGTCTTTATTACTTTTTAGTAGTGAAATCGTTGTATTAAATAGAAAAATCTGAGTTTGAACTATGAGAACAAGCTAGTGAGGTTTAAGGAGGGGGAATTATAAAAAAAAAATGCCCATGGGAGCCATGCCAAAACAAACAAACAAACAGTGGTTGTTATATTTACTTCTCTAGTGATGATCAAGACAGACATACAAAATAATTTGTACTTTTCTTTTTCTTAATATCACTGCAGTACTTTCCTAGGGTTGCCCTAGCAAAATGCCATAAACTAGGTGGCTTAAAACAACAGACACTGATTTTTTCATACATCTGAAATCTAAAAAGTTTGAATGCAGGTATTGGCAGGTCCATGCTCCCTATAAAGCTGGATGTGTATCTTCCAGCTTCTTACAGTCCCAGGTTTGTAGATGAGTCACTCCAATGTCTTTCTCCTGGTCACATAGCTGCCTTCTCCCTCTGTATCTCTGCTTTCACTTGGCATCCTCTTCTCTTCTAAAAAGTTCTTATAAAGATTTTTATAAGAGAGAACCATCTCTTATTAAGGGTCGCCCTACTTCATATGACTTCATCTCAACTAATTACAGCTGTCATGACCTTATTTCTAAATAAGGTCACATTCTGAGTTACTGAGGATTAAGACTACAGCATATCTTTTTTGGGAATATATAAATCAAATCATAACAACCAGTATAAAACACACACACACACACTTGAAAGAGCAAAGATAAATGGCAAGGCACATGATTGAAATATAACAAAAATAGAGAGCAGTGAGGATGCAGAAAATAGAGAGGAGTGAGGATGCAGCAAATTGATGAAGCTATGCATGGTTTTCTGGGATAGATTTTCAAGATTACTGCTACTGGTATAAATAATCTTGCCATGCTGGAGTCTAATATTCAATCTCCTAAAATCCAAACATTAGCAAAACATACACTTTTTGAACAGCAGTACAGAAAAACTATGAGTTTTGTGCATATACTTATTAATGATGACAGCATTCAATTCATCAATGTTATTTAAGACCAAAATTCTTTCTTTAGGAAAGCTATATTTTAAAAAAAATTTTAAATATGTTAATAACATAAAAATATATTTCCTCAAAAATAAACTTTTACATACTAAGTAACTCATTACTTATCAAACAACTTTAAGTATATATAATGAAATATTATTAATTATTAAATTGTTAAATCTTTATTGTTGAAATTATTACATATGTGTCTTTTTCCCCCACAGGCCCCCTTTAGCTCCCCGTCCACCCCCCCCTTCCACGCCTTCACCATTCTATTGTCTGTGTTTATGGGTTATGCACATATGCAGACAAATTCTTTGGTTGATCTCTTCCCATCCAGCTACCCTTCCTGCCTTCCCTCTGAGGTTAAGGAGCCTGTTCCATGATTCTAAGTCTCTGGATATATTTGTTCAAAGGTTTATTTTGTTCATTAGATTCCACATATGAATGAGATCATGTGATACTTGTCTTTCTCTGACTGGCTTATTTCACTTTAATAATACTCACCAGGTCCCTCACCTGTATATATGTTGTTAGGACACACCTAGAAAGGAAGATATTTAAAAGTGAGAAGTATTCATAAGCTGTCTTCTGCCAGTAGTCAGAAATAAATGCAAAGTGATATCAAGACAGAAATAAATAAAAAGTGATATCAAGAAAGGAGTATGTGAACAGCAATCCATTTTAGTTTTTATAAAACCCCAGTTTAAATGAGTTAAATTTCAGAGAAAACAGAGTGAAGTAATGTGATCTCTATCTCTCTTTATTACTAATCTCTCTGGACCTCAGTTTCCTCATATGACAGATTCAAATATCCATGTGTGAGCTTTCAAAACTATACAACCAAATCCCTACCCTTCCTCATTTAGGCATACACAATATTTTTAAAGAAGTATACCAGTATTTCCTTTGCAGTAAATGTCATTGCGATATCTAATTCCTGAGATACGTATGTTGAGTTGTGATTAAATTGTGAAGCATAATCCCAGGTTAGTTATAGAGATATTCTAATCCTCTGTTTAGTATGCAGGTGAATGAGGGTCTGGCTGAGCACTGTGTATCAGTAATAAAGATTTTATTGTTTTATTTCCAATGTGGCTTCCTCCATTTTTAATAAGCACATTGAGATCTATATTTTGAACTTTTTGGTGAAGCATTTGTTAAATATGTTTTTCTCTTCTGTTATTAAATAGATTCTCAAAATATATTATAATGGTGATCTATAATGCCTCTTGGCCTTTATCTGTAATTAGAGGCTCAATGCACAAAATTTGTGCAAGGAGCCCTGCCATTGCAGCCTTGGCTGCCATGGCCCATCACAGCTCCAGCTGCCTCACAGCCCCACCCACTGGTCATTCTGGAAGGTCGTCTGGAAAGTTGTTTTGCTCTCCAGTCTAATTAGCTTATTAAGTCTTTATTATATAGGGTAAGATATGTTTATTTGTTATTTAATTTCTTTAATTTTAAACCTATATGCCCCCAATGTTAGATCTGTGCACTTAAATAATGGATGGGGATATGTGTGTGTACTATTAGTAACATAGTGAACTGAGTTAACATATACTAGCTCCCATTCCGTTTATGAAGGAATGCTACATAAAATACAGCAACCATAGCAAAAGTTAGCTAACAGAGCCAATCTCAAAAGAAGGTAAGAGAAATCCCGAGTTGCAAAAACAGAGTAAGAACTCAAAGCCAGAGTTAAGAGCACACAACTAATGCTGCAAGAGCCTTGATGTGTATTTCACTCAGGTGTCCTGGCTGTAGACTGTGGGTGGGAGCTTTGATGCCGAGACGGATAAATGTGGCAGGTCTTTGGGCCCTTGTGAAATGAATCAATGGAACTGAGATTTCTGAGTGGACATGGGACTCTCACACCCATAGAGATATAAGAAAAATGCTGTCCTCATGGAGGAGCTTGTCTGCCTTCCTGGATTTGAGTGTTAAAAAAATATTTAATGCCGGGACCGGTTTGGCTCAGTGGATAGAGCGTCAGCTTGGGGACTGGAAGGTCCCGGGTTCGATTCCGGTCGGGGGCATGTACCTTGGTTGTGGGCATATCCCCAGTGGGGGGTGTGCAGGAGGCAGCTGATTGATGACTCTCTCATCAATGTTTCTAACTCTCTCTCTCTCTCCCTTCCTCTCTGTACAAAATCAATAAAATATATTTAAAAAAAATATTTAATAATCATTCAATAAAATTAATAAACTATACTTATTAAAGGGTGGCAACTTTGGGGATATTAACTTTAAATTCCATGGTTCAACTGTTACTTCTTTTAAGTAGTGTGTTTTATGAGACAATACAATTTAAGAGAGAATAACTATTTTTTTAATTTTATAAAAATTTTTAAGTTAAGGCAAATAAAAATACTAAATTAAAATTAAGTCAAGGAAATAATATGAGGACAGATGTGGTAGTCAGTGTTCTGATAATGAATTAGTAACAACAACTATCATTTATTTAGTACATGAAATGTTAGGCTCCTTCATACATTTTTTAAAATAGGTATTATTAAAATCTGCTGTTTATATATACAGCCAGAGGTAAAATTAATTAATCTAAATCCTGCCACAGTATTTAACTAAAATAATTACTCTAGAGCAGTAGTTCTCTATAAGGGGTGGTTTTGTCCCCAAGGGCACATGGGCAATGTCTGAAAACGCTTTATATTGTGACAGCTCAGGAGCAGGTATGCTATTGGATTAAGTGGGTGAAGGTTGGTGATGTCGCCAAACATCCTGTAATGGACGGGACAGCTCCTGACTTAAAATAATTGTTTGGTCCATGGTACCGCTGTTGATAACCCTGTTCTAGAATATTTAGATCAAAAGCTGAGCAAATTGAATAACAAAATAATATTTTGTTTACTATAACAACAAAGCAAAAATATGAACTTCCTTTTCCTACGGTATCCTCTGTGGCTTGAAACTGACTGGAATCACACAGACTTTAGGGAGTTTTCATGTGACACAAACTACATCATGGAAGTTTCCTCTCTGCAGGCAGTCTCCGTAAGATGATTTCTGTAGCTGCTGGCAACTGTCCCACATCAGTGCAGTTCAAGGAACCACTCTTTGACAATGCAGCAGACACACAACAGGCCAACAGACTTCCACTTTGCTCACTGCAGTTTCAGAATTCTACATGCATTTATACTGAGACAAAACTAATAAAACATATTGATACACTTCCTTTTAAGTATTAATGCCTTACTTTTCCAGTGTCAGCAATCCCTCAATAATGTAGCTTGCCCTAGTGCTGATAAAGCATTTATTTTGTTTTCTGTAACTTCCTTTTGAGGTCTAGCTCATTTATTTTTAATTCATAATACTTTCCAGGATTTTATAACATTGATTACTATATTTCAGATACCAGTTACCATATTTCATATCTCTAAAAGGAAGTACATTGAAAATGAAAATGAAATTTACCACAGTGGTGATTTATTTCTGTTTGAATAATTTTAAATTCTACCAGCATCTGCCATAATATCATTCTAAATCAGGAATTTTCTCACATAAATTTTAAGAGGATAATGTTTGCATTTTAAGCAAAATAATCTTTAAATTAAAAAACTACATTATAGTTAAGATGTTTATCATGTTTATCTTAATTTTAACTAATATTATAGCAGGGTGTCCATTGGTTGAAAATATTAGTTTCTCTTTTAAAATTAGGTGCAGAATATGTTGTCCTCCATTTAATTTATCACACTTATCGAAAGAAAATACTGAAGAAAATGTGATTTGACCCTATTAATTTTTCATGACTTGGGCTTATGAACATCAAGATCTGTTTTTCTAATCTGCACTCTGCTACATTGAGTCTTTGATCAGTCAGTGCATGAATAAAGAATGCCGCTTTTCAGAATTAAGAGGAAATGAAGCCTAAGGAGACATGTTATAGAATAATAAGTAGTATATAAAATATAAAAGTCTTGAATGTTAGACCTCATTATTTAAATACTATGTGTTTTTAGACAAAATAATTTGTATTTTTGGTATATTTTTCACACTTATAGCATAAAGTAGTATTTTATATAATACATTTACCCTAAATCATATGGATTATTTGATAAACTAGAATAATTAGTAATGTAACTGATGATGTATTAAAATCCTACTTGCCTATATGCACAGTAAACAGAAATATCAAACATTTTACAATAAATTATCTCCAGGATATTAAATGAAACTTTAAATAATGTTATATGAAATCATCTTATTTATCTAAGGGTCAATACACATTTTAAAATGCCTAATAGTTGCAATATAATAAAAAATATCTTCCAATGAACTTATATAAATTCAGTAATAATATGAGAATATATTCCATACTATGTAAAACACTACCATTCTCTAAGAATATTGAGCTTTGTCTGTCTCATGTTTTAGATAACATGCCCTATTCTTTTTTTTGTTCTTCAAGATATCATTTCAGTTGTTGTCATCTTTTAATCCTGTCCTCATCTTTCCATGCAAATCCTAAAGCATGGGTTTTAAGCTCTACTCTTGAGCATACTCCTCATGCAGAGGAATACTACCTAATTTACAGGCTGTAAAGCTCCTCACAAGGAGTCTACACCTTTGGTGAAAAGTGTTTCATTTTTACCTGTTGGCAGCCTGAAGTCACAAAATATTTGCTCATAATGCCACAATCCCTTGCCTGTGAATTAACTCCAGGCTCAGGAAATTGTTAGTAGAAATGTCCATTCTGAAAGTGTAGATAACTATACAAAACTAATGGAGAGAAATAGTATTTTGATTTTTGTCCTTTGTATGACATATTTAGATTATTATTTTTTTTCTTTATTGCTTTCCTTTACAAAAAAGGCCTCCAAGACTAAACACTAATAACCATTCTGATGATATGGAAATTTAGATAGAGCCCATATCAGGCCAAGAGTTATGGCCTTCCTGAAGCTGTAGAGACTAGAAGCTCTTAGCATAAAAGTTTAAATTTGTTCAATGAGGACTACTCAAAAAAAAAAAAAAAGACATGAAAGCACTTGCATGTCCAGATGCTTTGGGAAGCCAATAAAAATCCATTTTGGCTCCAGGGACAACTATTGTCATTATATTCTCATTATAATGTTTTGCCTCTGCCTGAGTTTTTCAAGTCCATAAGTCCATGGGTTGGTTCTGCTCATATAAAGCTTTGAACAACTTTGACAAAGCAGTTTTCCATTTTTCTTACAAATCTTCTTAGCCCTTTATTATTAACTGGATGTCCAGATGAACTGGCATCCAATTAATAATCAAAGGCCAATGATTTACCCAATCATGCATACATAATAAACTGAGAGAGAGAGAGAGAGAGAGAGAGAGAGAGAGAGAGAGAGAGAGAGAGAGAGAATTTGGGCAGCTTCCAGGTTGCTGAACATATTTGCATGCTGGGAGGGCAGCGTGCCTGTGGAAAAAGCACAAAAGCTCTATACTCCCTCTCACATACCCTGCC